AGAAAATAAATAATTCTTGTAAGTTTGGTTTGTTTTTTACATAGTCTCTTAATTTCTGTTTATCTGGAAATGTCCTAATTTCATCATCATATTTGAGTGAGAGTTTTGCATGATATATTATTCTTGGTTGGCAATTTTTTTCTTTCAAGGTTTTATATATGTCATCGCATTGCCTTCTTGTCTGCATGGTTTCTGCCAAGTAATCAGAGCTTAGTCTTATTGTTTCCCCTTTGTACCTGACTTTTTTCTTGAGGTGTCAGGATTCTTTCTTTGTGTTTTGTTTTGGTGAGTGTGATTATGATATTGTCTTGGTTATTTTCTTTTGGGGTCTACCCTATATGGGGTTTGTTGAGCTGCTTGGATGATCAGCTTTTCATCTTTCATGATATTAGGCAAGTTTTCTGTCAGCAAATCAATGATTTTGTGTCTTCCATTTTCTCTTTCTGTTCGAGCATTTGTAAATTTTTGTTCTTGATTGTATCCCACATAGTTCTCAGGTTTTCTTCATTCTTTTCTCTGTTTTTCCTCAGACAAAGTGGTATCCAAGAATTTGTCTTCAATATCACTGATCCTGTCTTCTGTTGGTTCAAATTTGCTCCTAAAACCATCTATAGCATTTTCCATTTCTGAAATCTTGTTGTTTTATCTTTTGGATTTCTAATTGCTGTTTTTGTGTGATTTCTAATTGTTTATTTATTTTGACATTTTGTTCCTGTATTATTTTCTGGAATTCTTCCATTGCTTTGTCTGTGTTTTCCCTGATTTTGTCTGTATTTTCCATGATTCTGTCTATTTTTTCCTTAGTTTTGTCTGTGTTTTCCTCCATATCTCTCCTAAAATCTCAGACAACTCTGAGTATTAGACTTTTGAATTCCTTATCAAGTAGTTCCAGTGCTTTTTCTTCTACGGGAAGGTCATCTGGTGTTTTATTTTGGTTGCTTACCGGAGTCTTCCTGTCCTGTTTTTTTATGTTTTGATACTGTCTGCTGTCTCTGGGACATTCATGAATTATTTTCTTCATTTACTGATGTAGATTTGTTTTGTCCTGCTTTTTTGTTTTATTTGATTATGTTTGGGTGGGCAAGCTGGGTGTGTTTTGTTGCTTGCTCATCTGTGGGTATGTTACTTCTCACCACCTTGTCCGGGTGGGCAGGGCCAGTCGCTCATGGTGCAGCAGGGCAGATCTGGGGGTGGGGAGGATGGGTTAGGATAGGTCATTTGCAGCACAAACTGGGGCTGAAAAAACTATGGCGCTGGGGGAACTGGCCATTGGGGGTGGGACGCACCTGGGGCAGCAGTGAGCATGTGTATCTTTGGCCATGCGACGATGGCCTATTGGAAACGGCTGAGGCAGTGTACAGGGCAGAAGGGTGCAGGGTGCGAAAGCATGTATCCCTGGTCATCGGGTGCTCTGTTTCTTGTTGGGAGCTCCATGAGTTTGCCTACCTGTACTCCCTGTCCAGGTTCCTTGGTGGCTGTGGTCCAAGATGGCGAATCCATGCCACATTAGCTGCCGGGGGACCTCCACTCTGTAGCTCTCCTTGTTCTCTGTTCTTGTCAGTTTCTTCTTCCATTCAGTGCTTGAACTAGTTCTTTATCCTTTCATTTGATGCTTAGGGTTCCAGGATAGATGTTTGTATCTTTTACTCAGTTTTGCAGGTCTTTGCTGCAGAGGGACAGCATGGTCTTTCTGTCTATAGTGCCATGTTGGTTCAGCCTCTATGTTTATTATTTTAGGGGTTAAGTAAGACTTTGTTTTACACCTCACTCCAAAAGTTTCAATTCATACAGTTACGACTGCAATTCTTTTAACTGGAATAGAGCTTTTATTCCATACTAATGAAAACACACAGAGCTCAAACACTTGTGAATGGGTGGCAAATTTATGGTTAGGGATAAACATTTGGGGAGATCATTTCCTGAGATCAGTTTTGACAGGGATGTGAGGGTTTTGGAGGGATGAGTCAGTGATGTTTGGGCAGGGACATTGGGCCTGAAATTCCAGACATAGGACTTGGGCAACTTAAAGACTTGCCCATGACTGGAGATACTTGAGTAAGGAAAACTGAGAGCCAGGTCCACAGGGTATCCCTTCTCTGCTATTTCTTCAGCAGAGAATCTCTGCTGTAACAGCCCAGAGACTCAAAAATGGCATCCCCATTCTGCAATCAAGCTCTGTTTGTGAATTCTGATGTGAGCCTGTTGCTAACCCACAAATTTTATTTATTATTAAAATTATTAAAATAATAAAATATTAAAATAATAACAAAAACAACAAAACCCAGTTGCCGTCTAGCCAGTTCCAACTCATGGTGACCAACGTGTGTCAGTGTAGAATTGTGCTCTATAGGGTTTTCAATGGCTGATTTTTTTGGAAAGTAAATTTCCAGGCCTTTCTTCCAAGATGCCTCTGGGTGGATTCAAACTGCCAACCTTTCAGTTAGTAGCTAAGCACTTAACCATTTGTACCCCCCAGGGATTCCACATTAAACATCCTTTATGCGCTTGCCTGAAATATCAACAAACATCAAGACTCCATCGAAATATTTCACAGAAGGTCGTTCTGGAGAGAAATCTCCATAAACAATGAGGTCTGGTAAATGAGCTGCTATTTTGACGATGGCCCGGTCTTGTGAGTCTATTTGAGTGTTCATGTTCACAGCAAATGTTCAAGATTTTATGATCACAGGAAGCAGTCCACAAGTAGACATTCTAGAAAGAAGAACTCAGAATGAAGAAAATCTGATATATTCATTCACTCATTTTCCTATTTCTTTTTCTTCCTTTACTTTGTTCTAACTTGCATTTGTTCTTATTTAAATCTGTGATTGAGTGATGCTAAAAATGCCAGAACTGTTGAGTCACACAGAGGAAAAAACCACACAGACTGAACGTGCAGCCCTGCACAGCTATTACATAAATGGGCACCATTACAAAGAGGGTGGAATGAAACAGGGTAGCTAAATGGCTCTACCCATTTTCATGAAGGGGTAAGCCCTTAAGATGCAAGTCCTGCTGTCAGTGGGCCAGAAGAACTGTCCACTCAGATTAGGCTCCGTTTCCTTTCCCCCTCCTCCTCCCTCTTGGTCTCTCAACTTTTCTCCCTCCTTTTTGAAAATTTAAAGAAAAAAATGTAGATTTGACTTTATGTGTGAGAATACATATATGGAGGTGAGGATTAGAATATAATATTATATATAGGCAAGAGATTAAATGCAAACTGGTTTAGTTAAAATATATAGAGGGTAAGAGTTCAAAGATGTGCATGTGTTTGTGTGTGTGTGTGAGAGAGAGAGATAGCTGGAAATGTAGAAGGCCCTAAGCTGTAAGTGGAAGGAAATGTTCAAATTTTAATTTCTTGCCAAGTCAGTTCTAAGAAAATTAGGATTTCCTCAGGCCTTCCTTTAACTACTAGGGCAGATTAAATGCTCATGCCTGAATGTTGTAAGAAACATACTCTACCAGCCTGAACAGAAAGAGTTTCCCCAACTTTTTCAGAGCAATCCAAGTTCCTGGAATAGTTGATGCAAGAAATAGAGGAATTTAAAAAAGGGAACTGTTACTTTTGGTTTAATTCTGTTCAGTAATGAGGAACTAGTTGGTAATTTTAACCACACATAGGTCATATTGAAATACATACCTAAGAGCATTGGAAGGAAAAAGCAGGACATGGTCACATATATCCAAGCCTTAATGAAGGTATTTTTAAAGAAATCAGGGAAAGTGGTAAACTTAACAAACTTTCAAAGTATAGGAACCTCTAAAATTGAGTTATAAATGTTAGGGATTAGATAACTTTTAAAAGGAAATCCCTGGTAAGCTCAAATGTTAAAAAGTAAAGAAAAGATAGAAGGAGAAGCATATGACTAAGTTTTTTTTTTTTTTTTTAAAGTAGCATTAAAAACTAAATAAAAACCACAACATGTACCAGGAATAGTCAATAGATAATTAACAAGTAAATCAAATAAATAATTTCAGGTTGTAAGTTTGATAAATGCTATATAATCCGCTGCCGTCAAGTTGATTCTGACTCATAGCGACCCTATAGCAATCCTATTGGACAGAGTAGAGCTGCCCCCATAGGGTCTCCAAGGCTGTAAATCTTTACAGAATCAGACTGCCACATCTTTCCCCCACGGTATAGTTGGTGGGTTCAAACTGCTGACCTTTCAGTTAGCAGCTGAGCACTTTAATCACTGTGCCACTTCATCTTTATAAGTGCTACATGAACTTACAAAAAGGGTGTGAGAAAACAGAAGGCCCAGAATGAGCTGAGACTCAGGAAAATTGCTAAAGTTAAGAAAATGTAGAGAGATTTTTAAACTTTATTCAAAACAAGGAAAGTAATAAAGGAGTAATAAGAACAAAACTTAAATATGGTGCACTGTTCTTTTGTTTCTGCCTTAATCATGGAGAATGGAAGAATTTAACAAGTATTGCTACGAAAAAGGAAACTCTGGTGGTGTAGTGGTTAAGAGCTACTGCTGCTGTAGCAGTTCGAATCTACCGGGCGCTCCTCGGAAACTCTGTGGGGCGGTTCTACTCTGTCCTATAGGGTCACTATGAGTCGGAATCGACTCAACAGCAACGGGTTTGTTTTTTTTGGTTGCTTAGAAAGAATTGAAGTCCAAGATAAGAAAGTAGTGATAAAGCACCCAGTCATTTTAAATAAATTCAAGCATCAATATACAAATAATTTTTATCGACAAATGCTGAAAACTGACAGGTGTGAATTCAGTCATCTAAAAACATCATGGAGGAAAAGAGATGGACTGGAAAACCAGATATGGGCACATTCTCTTTCGAATTTTGAAAGATGAGGCTACATGAGGATTCCAAAAAACACAGATCGGTAAACTTGATGTATCAGCCCAGATAAGCTAGGTTATGCTTCTTTAATGATTAACTGCAAAATATTAGTGCCTTGTGAAAACAGTGGTGTACTTCTTGCTGATGCTACAGGTTCATTGTAGGTTGGCCGGGGACCCTTCTCTGTGCTGCTGCTCTCACTTTGGGACCCATCCTGGGATGTTATACTGGCTGCCAAGGGAGTGACAAAAGGGGATGCAATGAGGCACAGACTCATTCTTAAGGTTTCCTCCAAGAAGTGACACATGTCACTTCCACTCATATTATATTGGCCAAAGTTTCAAGGACACATCTAACAAGTAGGGAAGTGCAATCCTACCATGTATTCAGAAGGATAGAGAGCTGGAATTATTGTGAGCAGTCCAATGGTTATCCTACATGATAATATGTGGACATATAGATCAGCAAGAGATGAGTAAAAGGAGCCAGATTGGATTTAGAACCCCAGACCAAATTAACCTTACTTCCTTTTTTTGTAGGGTTATTAAACTTTTAAATCAAGAGAATGCTAGAAACAAAGTATATCTAGACTTTAACAAGGCATTTGACCAAATTTCTTATATCCTTGTGGGTAAGATAAAAAATTATAGGAATGATGGAAATACAGTTAACTGGATGAACAATCAGATCTAAAGGATATTGATTAGTGCTCCAGTGTCAGCTCAAAGGGAGGTCTCCAAAGGCATGCTAGAGGACTTTGATAAAGACGCAACTGGAGGGAGAGCTGATGCAGTGAGTGACAGAATCAGGATCTCAATACAGCCTTATAGACTGAAATAACAATGAAATTTCAGAAGAATAAATGAAAAGTGCTGCATTTAGAATTTTAACAAAATCAAATGCATAAGCATATGGTGTGAAAAAAACTAGAATTGCTGCAAATGTAATGCTATCTTTTAAAAAACTTTTATTGAAACATAACATACATGCAGAAGAGTATACAAACTGTAAGTGTATAGCTTGACTGGAGAATTAAAGAGTGAATAAATCATGTACTCCTCACTCACATCAAGAAAGAACATTACAGGCACTACAGAAAACCCTCTTGTGCCAAGTCCCAGTCACTTGTCCCTTCTCCCCAAAGATAATCATGTCTCCAGGTTCCTAACATTACAGATGATTACCTTCACCAGTTTTCTAACTACATAAATGGAATCATATTAAATATATTTTTTGCGTTTCATTTCTTTTGCTCAAATGTTTGTTATTCATCCATGTTGCTGTGTATATATCAGTAATCACTCTTAATGCTGTATAGTATTCCATTCCCTGAGTTTACCACAAGAAGTATTTATCCATTCTACTATTAACATCCCCATGCGTCTGTCGGTTTGTCGTACTGTGGTGGCTTGTGTGTTGCTGTGATGCTGGAAGCTATGCCACTGGTATTTCAAATACCAGGAGGGTCACCCATGGTGGACAGGTTTCAGCTGATCTTCCAGACTAAGAAAGACTAGGAAGAAGGACCTGGTGGTCTACTTCTGAAAAAATTAGCCAGTGAAAACTTTATGAATAGCAACAGAACATTGTCTGATATAGTGCCAGAAGCTGAGCCCCTCAGGTTGGAAGGCACTCAAAAGATGACAGGGGAAGGGCTGCCTCATCAAAGTAGAGTTGACCTTAATGACATGGATGGAGTCAAGCTTTTCTGACCTTCATTTGCTGATGGGGCATAACTCAAAATGTGAAGAAACAGTTGCAAATGTTCATTAATAATAAGAATGTGAAATGTATGAAGTATGAATCTAGGAAAATTGGAAATCGTCAAAAATGAAATGGAATGTGTAAAGATCGATATCCTATGCATTAGTGAGCTGAAATGGACTGATATTGGCCATTTTGAGTCAGACAATCATATGGTCTATTATGCCAAGAATGGCAAATTGAAGAGGAATGGTGTTGCATTCACCGTCAAAAAGAACATTTCAAGATCTATCATGAAGTACAACATGGTCAGTGATTGGCTAATATACATATGACAACAAAGAAGACAAGTTAAAATGACTATTATTTAAATTTACCCAACAACCACTAAGGCCAAAGATGAAGAAATAGAAGATTTTTTACCAAGTTCTGCTCTGAAATTGATCAAATGTGCAATCAAGATGATTGGACTGGTGATTGGAATGTGAAAGTTGGAAACAAAGAAGAAGGATCTGTAGTTGGAAAAAATGGCCTTGGTGATAGAAACGACACCAGAGATGGCATCATAGAATTTTGCAAGACCAACGACTTCTCCATTTCAAATACCTATTTTCAACAACATAAATGGTGATAATACACGTGGACCTCACCAGATGGAATACATAGGAATCAAATTGACTATATCTGTGGAAAGAGACGATGGAAAAGCTCAATATCATCAGTCAGAACAAGGCCAGGGGCCGATTGTGGAACAGCTGAAGAAAATTAGAACACGTCCACGAGAGCCAAAGTATGACCTTGAGTATATCCCACCTGAATTTAGAGACCATCTTAAGAATAGATTTGATGCACTGAACACTAATGAATGAAGACCAGACGAGTTGTGGAATGACATCGAGGACATCATACATGAAGAAAGCAAGAGGTCATTAAAAAGACAGGAAAGAAAGAAAAGAGCCTAATGGATGTTAGAAAAGACTCTGAAAGATGCTCTTGAACGCGGAGTAGCTAAAGTGAATGGGAAAAGTGATACAGTAAAAGAGCTGAACAGAAGATTTCAAAGGGCAGCTCTAGAAGACAAAGTATAGTATTATAATGAAATGTGCAAAGACCGGGAGTTAGAAAACCAAAAGGACAGATGCGCCAGGCATTTCTCAAGCTGAAAGAACTGAGGAAAAAATTCAAGCCTTGGGTTACAATACTGAAGGATTCTACAGGGAAAATATTGAAAGATGCGAGAAACATCAAAAGAAGATGGAAGGACTACAACAAGTCACTGTACCAAAAAGAACTGGTAGACATTCAGCCATTTCAGGAGGTAGCATATGATCAAGAACCAATGGTACTGAAGGAGGAAGTCCAAGCTGCACTGAAGGCACTGGTGAAAAACAAGGCTCCAGGAAATGACAGAATACCAATTGAAATGTTTCAACAAATGGATGCAGCCCTGGAAGTGCTCACTTGTCTATGGCAAAAAATTTGGAAGACAGCTACCTGGCCAACCGACTGGAGGAGATTCATATATACGCCCATTCCGAAGAAAGGTTATCCAACAGAATGTGGAAATTATTGAGCAGTATCATTAGTATAACACACAAGTAAAATTTTGCTGAAGATCATTCAAAAGCAGTTGCAGCAGTACACAGACAGGGAACTGCCAGAAATTCAAGCCGAATTCAGAAGAGGACATGGAATGAGGGATATCATTTCTGATGCCAGATAGATCTTGGCCGAAAACAAAGAATAGCAGAAAGATGTTTAGCTGTGTTTTATTGACTATGTAAAGGCATTCAACTGGGTGGATTATAACAAATATGGATAACATTGGGAAGAATTGGAATTCCAGAACACTTAATTGTGCTGATGTGGAACCTGTACATACACCAAGAGGCAGTCTTTCCAACAGGAGAATGCTGTGTGGTATAAAGTCAGGAAAGGTGTGCATCGTGGTTGTATCATTTCACCATACTTATTCAATCTGTATGCTGAGCAAATAATCCCAGAAGCTGGACTATATGAGGAAGAACTTGACATCAGGATTGGAGGAAGACTCATTAACAACCTGCGATATGCAGATGATACAACCTTGCTTGCTGGAAGTGAAGAGGACTTGAAGCACTTATTGATAAAGATCAAACACTACAGCGTTCAGTATGGATTACACCTCAACATAAAGAAAACAAAAATCCTCACCACTGGAGCAATAAGCAACATCATGATGAAATGGAGAAAAGTTTGAAGTTGTCAAGCATATCATTTTACTTGGATCTAATCAACACTCAGGGAAGCAGCAGTCAAGAAATCAAAAGACGCATTGCATTAGGTAAATCCGTTGCAAAAGACCTCTTCAAAGGTTAAAAAGCAAAGATGTCACTTTAAGGACTAAGGTGTGCCTGACCCAAGCCATGGTGTTTTCAATCACCTTATATGCACACAAAAACTGGATAATGAATAAAGAAGACCGAAGAAGAATTGACGCCTTTGAATGATGGTGTTGGTGAAGAATATTGAATATACCATGGACTGCTAGGAGAACAAACAAATCTGTCTTGGAAGAAGTACAGCCAGAATGCTCCTTAGAAGCAAGGATGGCGAGACTTCGTCTCATGTACTTTGGACATTATCAGAAGAGACCAGACCCTGGAGAAGCACATCATGCTTGGCAAAGTAGACGGTCAGTGAAAAAGAGGAAGACCCTCAACAAGATGGATTGACACAGCGGTTCCAACAATGGGTTCAAGTATAACAACAATTGTGAGGATGATGCAAGACTGGGCAGTGTTTTGTTCTGTTGTACACAGAGTTGCTATGAGTCAGAACTGACCCGACGTCACCTAACAACAACTATTGGCATATGGGTTGTCTCTAGTTTTAGGCTATTAGGAATATTGCTGCTAAGAACATTCTTGTACATGTCTTTTGGTGAACATATGTGTGCATTTCGCTCGGCCATATACCTAAGTGGAATTGCTGGATCATAGGATATACATATACTGAGATTTAGTAAATCCTGACAAAGTTTTACAAAGTGGTTGTACCAATTTACACTCCCACAAGCAAGGTATGAGAGTTCAGTTGCTCCATATCCTGACCTACACTTGGATTTGTTAGTCTTTTTATATTTTAGCCATCTTGGTAGGTGACCAGTTGTATCTGTGGTTTTAATGTGTTTCCCTGGAGGTATTAATGATATTCAGCACCTTTTCATATGTTCATAGGGCATTTGGATGTAGTGCAATCTTAAGGTACATAAGCAGTGTTCAAATCTAATCCAGTGTATTGGTTTAGTTCTGCCCACTTTATTTGAAGTGCATTAAGTATGGAATGTGAGGAATGGTGAAAGAGATTGGAAATGTTAAGTCAGGGGATGATGACATTTGGGTGAAAATAGTAGTTGTCTTCAAATATATGGAATGAAATGTGAAAGCTGTAGCATTACTAGGAGATGCAGACCCCTGTACAACATTTACCATGGGCCCCTGCAGTTAAGAAAAGAGTTCCCCTACTTTCTCCGTCAGATAGGTATTGGGTTTGGCTAAGCAAGAATAAGCTTCATGGATAGGTAAAGAGAGAAAGGAAAGTTGGCATTTTTTTCCTCAGTGGAGGGAGCCAATTTATCAAATAGGTGACATTAGATAGCATGCTTTCTGAAGAGCCTTCCACAGATGTGCTGAGCAGCTATAGAACTGAGACCAGGTTGAGCAGAACTGAGCAAGGGTGTATGTGGCCCTATTCTTCCCCCTACAGCCCCAGCTCATTGACTATCTCAACTTTGTTCTTTTGGTTACCACTTGTAGGATTGCTAGATTCAGCAAATCAAAATATAGCATGCCCAGTTAAATTTTAATTTTAAATAAATGAATAATTTTTTAGTATAAGTATGCCCCAAACATTGCATTTTATCTGGCAACCCTACTACAAGCCCCCTCAGTCTTGGCAATTCCATACTCTTCCTTACATGCAGAGTATAGACTGTTTTGCTTTAGTTTAGCAACATATGGAAAGTGGGTTAGCTTTATTCTTTGTTGCTCCAGAAGGATCAACTAGCATCAGTGGCTGGCAATCACTGGGAGGCAAATTTAAACAATGTAAGAATAAGCCTTCAAACTGGGCGGTTTAGAAGTACTGGATTTCCTTATGAGAGGCTGTATAGCTATCTGCCTTACAGAGGTGATTCTTATATTTGGTAGAAAGATGAATTAGATGACTGCTAAGATTCCATTGGTTTAAGTAAGGTGATTTGATAACTTGGACAGACTTTTCTAAAATTTATGGATACTAGCTAGGCAAGCAAAGTAGATGTACTTGGATATTAACATGACAGATGTGGAAAGAGAACTAGAAGAGGAAAATATCATGGGCTAGAGAGGCAAAGACATCTGAAATGAACATCCAAAATAAAAAGACAATAGAAAGTTTCCATTTTAGAAGACTTAGTTTTCTGCTTGAAAGCCCCGCAACATCAGAAAGTGATTAGTGACAGAAATATTTATTTTGTACAGGCACATACCACACTATAATTATAATATGACATTTTTATATAAAGTATTCTACATAGGTTGGCTCATTTAATCCTCAAAGCAACATTATGAGGCAGGCCTAATCCCCATTTAACAGATAAGGAAACTGAAGCTCAGAGGAATTAACTTGCCCTGGGTTACCAGCTACAAAACCCATTATTTTTTCTACTATGCCATGCTACATCCTGTTTGTATATCCTTTATGACACTTTGGGGGATGTTTTTGACCTAGAGAAAAAGATGTATTTAATTTTAGAGCATTTTCAGTGCATGTTGACAGTATCCTCAGTAATTGTTTGGCCAATTGTATCTGCCACATTCAAAAATACTAGTGACTCTCCCTCCTGGTATTCGTGGCTTCCTTCTTCCTTTTTTATTAAATGATAAGCCTAAGTGGTCACCAATGTCTTTCTGTAGCAGACCTACCCAGTCCTCCTACACACCTGTATTATATTATAAACTATGACAAGGAGGAAGAGAGAAAGAATTTTCCTTGAGGTCCACAGCCTGATTTTTCCAAGTCACATCCTAGTAGTTTAAATGTATGGACTAGAGTCTATGCTTACTTTATCTTGTTATAATCTAATCCATAAAATCAAGGTCAAGAGTAGAACATAAACAGAGTAGGCACTGAGGAAGCACCAAAGCATCGAGGAATGAGGACACCTGAAAGAGTAAAAGAGCAAGCAGGTAAATGACGTCCCAAAGATATGCCAAGGTAGGAAGTTTCCTGAGTGAGTGACTTGAATGAAAGGAAAATGTGTGTAGGTAAGTTGCATTCTGCTTAATTTTGGTTAGCAATAACCAAAAATGAAAATAAAAGAGAAATTAGGGATCAGTTGTAACCGTTATTGTTCCTCTAAGTAGATATATCTTCTAGAAATTTCCAACAGTTTTCAGTTTACATCCAACGTCTTACCAATATCATGTGAAGTCAGATTTCACAAGAGTCCAGAGGAGGAGAACCTCTGAACTTAGAGGGATAGTGTTATCTGTTGCAAAAGTTTTGCCTGACCACTCCGGGCCATGGTAACTTTCCTTCTGAGCTATTATGGCATTTAGTGTCTATATAAACTTACGTGGCTCATTTTCTAATTAAGTATCTTTATCTTTTGACCTGTTTCTGAATTGTAAGCTCCCTGTGTTTAGAGACCATGTTCTACATACCTCTATTTCCTCCACAGCATCTTTCCAAGTGCCCCCTTCACATCTGATGACTTGTTATTTGATGACTGATAAAAGACATCATGTGAGAAGTTGTAGAAGAGAGGTAAATAGAGTAGAGCTAGAAAGACAGAGCATCCAATATAAACAAGATGAGGAAATACTCAAACACTTAAATGTCTAAAAGACTGACAGAGAAATACCCAAGCTTGGATTCTGACTCCTAGTCTAAGGCTTCCTCTAAGATCTAATACCTGCCTTCTTCCCAGATGATTGCTCTTTTTTAGCTCTGCAAACTTTCTTCCTACTGAGGCTCCTACTTCCACATACCTCCTCTTCCTCCAAGGCTGAGGAAAAGCCAGAGCCTGTATTAGTGACTGGATCTTTCAGAAGTGCAGAAAACAGGAAAGGGGTCTGGATGACATTATTCTGAAGACACCAGAAGTGCCATGTCTGTCTATAGTTGACCCATAAAATGACAGTTTTGTCTAAAAGCCGTTTTCCAGGCCACACCCTCATCAGAAGCTCATTGTTTCATGTCCACTGACTATGCTTCTGATTGGTTGGCACTGCCTTCCCCTCCCCCACCAGTCTCAGTTGCCTATTGCTTGTACAAGGGCTGGTTGAGTTCAGCCTCTCATGTCCCAACATGTGGGGCAAGGGTCAGGGAGAATGATTTGACCATAAAGTAGTTTCCACAACTCTCTCCCTGACTATGTGGAGGGTGGTTAAAATTAGGCAATAGTTGGCAGGTGATTATCATAAAGACAAGTATCTCTTGAGCAAGCATGCATCCAACTTTAGTCAATAGTGATTATGGCTTTTTACCAACACTATGAAATTTACCAGTTATATTTCAATATGACTTCAGAGATTTTTGAGGTAAATTTTTGTTTGCTTGAAGAATTATACCTGTCCATTTTGACTAGTCCAGTGCATACTTCTAACCAAATTTACCCTAAAGTTAACTTGAAATCCAATGTGACATTGGATTTGAGTTTTCTTAATCCAATGTGACACTGGCAACATGTGTATTAAGAGAGTGGCATGTTCGCTAACAGCTTAATCCATGTTTTGATTTTCTAGCTATTTTCATGTATATCACAACTACAATCACTATTTAGTGGCATATATTTAAAATTTGAATTAAAAAATGTCTAACTGAAAAAGCAGGCAAACATTCTTAAATAAAGCCCAGCATTATAATTAAATTTACTGTGTTTCAAAATGTTATAAAATAGTTACTTTAGAAAAAAGTAGTTCATTTAATTACAAAATGTTGAGTGAATTTTCTGGTGTTACTTGTGGAAGCTAGTCAATACAATTAGAATCACACCTCATAAAATTAAACAAACCCCTTACAGAGAAAGCCAGTGTTGATAAATACCAGTGCTTTCTATTTCTTTTTCATTAAGAGAAGAACCTGGGCTTTGAGGTTAACCCTTGTTAATGTTCCACCTTTCACTATCATTTTAACAACTTAAAAACAAACCTGCTTAATATGGAGAAATAACAGTGTTTACATACCTTGGATCAATTCTTTCTTTGAAATGAATGCCAAATCACAGAAAGATGAAAGCATATACCTTATTAAGCATTCTCTACCCACCACTCCCCAAGCAGTTTTTCTGCTTTAGCCTGTTAAAACTTCAAGAGTTCTAATAGTTATTACCTCGGAAGGTATGCAAATAGGTTAATACATCTTTCTGCAGTTAGAAGTTCCTTTCTCTAACAAAGTACTTCCTGTGTCTATTATTAACTAAAAAGCTTACCATTTTCTGAAACTTTACATTTATTTAATACTCATCATGGATCACTGTGTTAAACAATCTTTACATTGGCTGCTAACCAAAACGTCAGAGGTTAGAACCCACCAGCTGCTCCTTGGGAGGAAGATGTGTCAGTCTGCATCTGTAGAGATTTACAGGCTTGGAAACCCTATGGGACAGTTCTACTATGTCCTACAGGGTCACTTGACGGCAACAGGCTTTTTTTTTTAGGAGTTATCAAGTGATTTGTACTATGTGGAAGGTATTTTTATGGAGTTCGGTTGTCTACACTGATAGTAAGGACTTGTAGTATATCAATTCTTCTTCCTAAATTTTTGATTCAATAATGGGATAGATTGAGCATTTTGGAATAGAAAGGAAGCATGACATAGTGGTTTGTCAATGAAACTCCTGAAAACCAAGAAGAAGATTGCCTGTCACTGCATCTAAATGCTACAATTTGCAATTGTAGCTTAGGAGAAACCATATAGGGAATATTGTTAGCGCCCATTAAGTTGGCCCTGATTCATGGCCAACCCACACACATCAGAATGAAATACTGCTCAGTCCTGCACTGCTCCCATGATTGTTTGCTGATTGGACTGTTGTGATCCATAGATTTTCTGAAGTAGATCACCAGGCCTGACTTCTCAGTCCACTTAAGTCTGCAAGCTCTGCTGAAACCTGTTCAGCATCATAGCAACACATATACCTCCACTGACAGGTGGTGGCTGCGCATGAGGTGCATTGTTCAAGAATACAACCGGGGTCTCATTCACTAAAGGTGAGAATTCTACCAGTGAATCATCAATGTCTTCCCATATAGGAAATAACAGATTTTAATGAATAGGATGTGAAACACTAATTCTACATTAACATTGTAATAAACTTTTTTGTGTCTATATTTCATATGTATTTCCTAAGTGCTTAACCAGGAAAATGCACGTGCACACACACCCCAAACAATTTTAATAGTGTGACTTATGGAAAGAAGGTAATAATAATTTCACCTTATAGAACCTCCTCATTTTTGCCTAAATTCTCTAATCCCTCCCTCCTCAAAGATGGACTATGGTGAAGGGATAAATGATAAAGTAAAAGTTTTTCAATAGCTAACTGTCAAATTTTCATTAGTAGTAGTGTATTGTTATTTTAAAAAATCTTTTGTTTCTTCAAATTTAGAAATAACCTGCTTTGCTGATTCATCTGACTATAGTTCTAACCATGACTGGCTTTACTACCATAATTAGAAGAAAGTTTAGTACTCCAGATTGAAGCCCAAATCAATAAAACAAAAACAAAAACAAAAACAAAACCAAACACAAAAACACACCCAATGCTGTGGAGTTGATTCTGACTCACAGCGACTCTATACGACAGTAGAACTGCCCCACAGAGATTCCAAAGAGCACCTGGTGGATTCGAACTGCCAAACTTTTCGTTAGCAGCCATATTCTTAACCACTATGCCACCGGGTTTCCCCTAAATCAGTAGACATGATTATTTCTAGTATGGAGTAATCTGTGCCCAGTCTCTCCTCACTACGAGCCACTAACATTTACAGAAAGCCTACTTATGTCCTAGGTGTTCTGCTAGGCACTTTCTTGAATTGTCCAAAGCCATAAGTTTATAAATAAAAGAGCTGGGATTCAAACTCAGGTCTGTTTGATTCTAGGGCACTTTCTGCCATATTACATCAATTGCTGAGTACAGTTAAAATTTTTAGAAATTCTTTGTCACTTTGTAACCGTAAAAGAATTTCACACGATATGCAAAAAAAAAAAAAAAAAAAAAAATTCTTTACTTTAAAATACTTCAAAATATTTTAAAACAGTCTGAGGTAACTTTGCCAGTCATTCCACTACTCATTTCTCACACTGCTCAGCTCTAATTCCTTTCACTTGACCATCCTTTCTGTACAACATATTCAACCTTTCAACTATCTTTCAATCTTTTGAATGTGGTGCTCTTGTATTTATACACTTTGGCTGACTAGAAGAGAAGGCGGTTGGGGGTACGTGTGAGGAAGTATGATTTGTCATGAGCAAATGGTAGAAAGAAGGCTACTAACATTCACAGATAAGTTCTTTAAGTCACATGTTAAGAGAAAAGCTGTTATTAAAAGTTTGCTTTATTTTTCTGTTGAATCAAGCACTAGCTACCAAGTTACAGTTAATTTATTTTTGCCTTCCAAATGTTAACACAGTTAGCATCACCTTATCAATAACCAAATAATAAATCAAACTAGGTCCCAGTGGTTATGTCCACATCTAGATTGTTCAGGTGATCAGGAACTCTTTTACTTGTTTGCTTTAGCTTTTAGTTCTCGGTTGTATCTATAAAGAAAAGAGAAAGAAAAATAATCATCAACCATAATAGATAAATTTAAGATAACAAGGGAATGGAAAGCCATCTTCTCTTTCCCAGTAGTCAGGAAGCTATGTAGTTGTAAATAATATCTTCCCAGGTACTTAAAGTAGAACAGGCAGAAAGCAAAGTGAACCAAGGAGTTCATTTGCATCTGGTTTGTGTTTCAGATAAGAAAAGATCCCAATAGCCAAAAAGTTTTAACAGCTTAACTGACATATACAAAAGTATTATTATTATTATTATGGTAAGTATATACATGACAAAACATTTGCCAATTCAATTTTTTTTTTTTTTTTAAAGTGTAATCTGGGAATGCCTAACAGATTTGTTAAAGTGAGAAACATTTCACTTTTGATTAATAACCTCTTTTAAAAAAATTTATTGTGCTTTAGATGAAAGTTTACAGTGCAAATTAGTTGCTCATTTAAAAACTTATACACAAATTGTTTTGTGACACTGGTTGCAATCCCCCCAATGTGTCAGCACGCTCCCCCTTTACATCCCAGGTTCCCCATGTTCATTCGTCCAGTATTCTTGTCCCTTCCTTCCTTCTACTCTTTGCTTTTGGGCAGGTGTTGCTCATTTAGTCTCATATACTTGACTGAACTAAGATGCACGTTCCTCACGTGTGTTATTTTTGTTTTATAAGGCTGTCTAATCTTTGGCTGAAAGGTGGACTTTGGGAGTGGCTTCAGTTCTAAGTTAGCGGGTGTCTGGGGGCCTGTCTCAGGGGTTCCTCCAGTCTCTGTTAGACCAGTAGGTCTGGTGTTTTTTCATGAATTTGAATTTTGTTCTACATTTTTCTCCCGCTCTGTCCAGGACACTCTATTGTGATCCCTGTGAGAGCAGTTGGTGGTGGTAGCCAGGCACCATCTAGTTCTTCTGGGCTCAGGCTGGTGGAGGCTGCAGCTCATGTGGTCCATTAGTCCTCTGAACTAATATTTTCCTTGTGTCTTTGGTGTTCTTCATTCTCTTTTGCTCTGGACGGGATGAGACCAAGAGACGTATCTTAAATGATCACTCGCAAGCTTGTAACACCCCAGACGCTACTCACCAAAGTAGGATGTAGAACATTTTCTGTATGAACTATGTTATGCCAATTGGCCTAGATGTCCTGAGACCATGGTCCCCAGCCCTCAGCCCCAGTAACTCAGTGCCTCAAAGTGTCTGGACGTAAAAACTTCTGTGACTTTGCCTTGGTCAAGGTGTGCTGACTTCCCCTATATTGTGTGTTGTCTTTCCCTTCACCAAAGTTAAAATTTGTCTACTATCTAGTTAGTGATTTCCCTTCCCCATTCCTCCCCTCCCTAGTAACCATCAAAGTTTTTTTTTTTCTGTGTGTAAACCTTTTCTTGAGTTTTTATAATCACGGTCTCATACAGTATTTTTCCTTTAGAAATTGACATTTCACTCAGCATAATGCCCTCCAAGTTCATACATGTT